ATCTTAAGTTTTTCAAATTCTTCTGTTGATATTATCTGTCCACGATATAGAGTTACAGTTCAACCGTCGCTCTCTTCCATCATTCTCTGTTGTTCAATTTCCAACTAAGTACATAAGTCAGTTATATAAAAACGAAATAAATGTAACAGATGTACATCTTCTGTTCTCAAAGCTTTATTTAACAAACGATAAATAAAACTATTAGCTGTAAACCATTCAATTGCTTTATCAGATGAATATGTTTCACTAAACACACGAATTTTCTCTAATTCATGTATGTCATTTCGATAATAATCCCTACACATAGCTAACATTTGTTCTTTAGCACATTGATTATGTGGCATTTTCCTTAAAACGATAATTAAGAGTTGATACCATAGAAATGATGCTTGATTTGTTGTCAAATCTTTTGCTGTTTTTTGTTCTTGTTGATCAAACAGATTAAATGCACGTATTTGCCGTTTAGCTAAATCTAATGAATGTTTTATTGATTTTAATAATGTTTCTTTATCTCTGAATAGTCCAACTATTTTACAATAAATCTTAGGCAATAAGACATACTGATCACAATTGTCTTGTTCACAATAACAAAAAATAAAAACAGAATTTAATAATGATAATGAATGTATTTGCTGAAGAACTTCTATAGAAATTGAAGGTGATAGAATAAGGAATAGTTTTTCATATTTTATTGTTTGAATAAAATTCAGACATAACTTTATATCAGTAAAGAATTGTACATAATTATTTAATTGTTGTAATGAAGTTTGAAGATGTTGTGTTTTGGTTGAATCATCGATATATTTATCTAACCAAACTAATGTAAAGTCTTCTTTATTATCAATGATTTGAAACAATCGAAGATCACGGCGATATAAGAAGATAGTATTATTTGTCATTTTGTTTTCTATCACTCAAATTCTGCACATTAAACGATCATAATATAATGCAACGTACTTTTCTAAAAATGTGAACATCGACTATGACCAGTACACTTTCCACCGATCTCGGAAATTATCAGGCTTTTTGCACAGTATAAAACAAAAGAATTTGACTTCTGTAATATAGTCATGGAACATGTGAAGTTTTTCTGACTGCATAATAATAACTTAAGTATCATATTATCCATAACTTCATTTGATTTATATATTTCTGTTTTATAAGTTGGTTTTCTCCAACAATTTTTGAACGCAATTCCTACTTTAAGAGTAACAAATAAACAGCTATACTTACAATTTATTTATTTACATAAATTACGTTGTTTTTTTAATATATTTTCTTTCTTCCTAAATCCTCTGATCAAAAGAAGTCGAACACACTTCTTTTAAAAATTAATCGCCCAGACAATGAAAGGTACCTTTCATTGTCTGGGCGATTAATTTTTAAAA